GCGGCTGTTGAAATCGTAGAAACCGTTAAAACATTAGGAGTACTTTTTAATTGCACAATGTCGGGGGATCCTCAGATTAATAATCTAATTACCAACCTATCAAAATGTGTGGGCATACTTGGACGAATGCGTTATTTTCTTCCAGTTTCTGTTAAACTAACACTTTATAACAGCTTGTTTTTGTCGCATGTAAATTATTGTCTTTTGGTATGGGCAAGTACGACAGCAACCAACATAAATAAAATATACAGGCTACAAAAGAAAGCGATCAGGTTTATAGCAAATGTCGACTACTATGCCCACACAGATTAACTGTTTCAGCGCTATAATATTGTCCCAATTCACAAACTTTACGAGTATTCCCTAGCAATAAGATATAAGCAATCTCTTTTTCATAACAATCGTGCCTTCTTAGATATTTTTGAACTGGAAACGCATGCTAATCCGTACCCTACTCGTCACCAACAACATTGGAACCTTCCATTCTGTAGAACAAATTTTGGGCGACAAATGTTATGTTTTAGTGTTCCTTTGTTATTACATAAATTACTGGAGGCAAAAATAATTCTTGAGAAATGCAGTGCACGTGACATTAGGGAAGTGCTTTTATCGTGAAAATTGAGAAAAAGGTGGTCCAGGCATTCATGGTACTCTCTATATATCTATGTGTGTATATATATATGTGTATATATATGTGCGTATATATATATATATATATATATATATATATATATATGTGTGTATGTATGTATATTTGTGTCTGTATATGCATCTCCATATGTGTGTGTATATTTATGTGTATGTGTGTACACGCAATTTCTATGCATAGCATTGTTGTCATATATATAGTATTTTGTATTCCGTCATATTTTGCATTGTACTTCGGAATTTGTGCCGAACTACTTACGCATATTAGTCTCTGTATATAGCATTACTGTACGTGCATCTTCCGACTTGTACTGCGCTAAACATCTCATGGCTTATGTTCGTTGCCTACATGTTCATGGCTTATGTTTCTTTACTCATGTCCACGTTGCTTGCCATGTATTAGGGAGACTCGGGTTCTCCTCAAGTGACAAAACGTCCCTTTTCTCCCGAGCCTGCCCTCATCCTTGGGACGAAATAAAATTGAATTGAAAATTGAAAAAAAATGTAGGTACACTTGACGGTCTGTAGGCTTTTTGTAAAGGTTTGTTGACAAGCGGTCATTTTGACCGTGACAGTGACGTCCAAAAAGTTAATGGTAGTTTTGGAAATTTTGTGCGTGAATTTTATTGACGGGTGGCATTTGTTAAAATCCTCTATGAAGCGGGAAAGACTTCTCTTATCATGGTTCCATATCATAAAAATATCGTCTAAGTATCTTCTTTCGTAGAAAGGTTTCAAGGTGTGTCCCTCAATGAATGGGATTTCAAGTGAAGCCATGAAGGTGCTCGCGAAGTTTGGGGCCATTTTCGTGCCCATTTCAGTGCCACTGACCTGAAGAAAATGCTTGCCGTGGAACTCAAAATGGTTAAAATTTAGTACAAGTTCAAGAAGTGTAAACAGTACCTCGCCACTTACACTAGTTGATGAGTCAGATTTTACATATTCAGAAACCATAGCCGCTATTCCGTCATGGTGGGGTATGTTGGTGTACAGTGAGCAGACGTCCATGGTCACCAGAAAACTGCCGCCTGGGATGTCGAGACTTGAAGTTTCGCAGATGAAGTGGTTTGTGTCCTTTAGGTAATAGGGAAAATTTGGAGGGACGTTTTTTATTAAGGAAATGATGAATTCTGATATATTTTCTGTTGGTGCGCTGTTACTGGATACTATCGGACGTCCCGGATTACCTGCCTTGTGTATTTTGGGGACCAAATAGAATCGACCGGGAACAGAATGGGCCGGTAACATTGCTTTTAACATTTTGCCGGTAATTTTCTCGTCCCGGCGGAGATTGTTTAGGGTTACTTTTATCTCCCTTTCAAATTCGGGAGTCGGGTCCCTTGGAAGTTCTTTGTAGAATTTTGTGTCTGATAGCTGTCGTTCCCCTTTCTTTAAGTAGTCCGACGTGTTTAGAATTACTATGCAGCCTCTTTATCAGCCGGTTTGATAGTAATTCCAGTGTTTTTTCGTAGTTCATCGAGTGCCCTTCGTTCTGACTTTGATATGTTGTTTCGAAATGGCCGATTTTTTTCATACTTCATACGCTCTGATGATATCTTTTGGAACTGCTGATATATACATATCGAGGTGTTTGTCCCTCTGCTCACTCGGACACCATGGTCTGTCACCACCAATCATTCTATTCTCGTCCGCACAGTCCCCGCGATCATGAAAGTATTCACGGAGGCGGAGATTACGCGCAAAGTTATCGAGGTCTTGGTACAGTTCAAATTCATTGAATCTACCGAATGATGGACAAAGGGTCAAGCCTCTCGACACGTTGAAGCTGAGCGGGTGTGAGGGTTGTGTTTGACAGATTGAGGACATTTTTCTCATAAGTTTTCGGCTGCTCTTGGCTATCACGTGGCGCGGGAGTGTCAGCGTCATATTCGAGAGTAAGGATGTTTTGATTAGGATTGCACTGTAGTTTTTAGTTCCCATTTTTCTCCTCAAAGTTAGGTTGTGGTACGGGTGGTCCCTGGCGTTCTTGTACGGCCTCATTCCTATTTTCCTGTTGCAGAGCAGTGGAGCTACTGCAGTCCCGCTTGAGTTTTCTATCTTTTACTAATGAAATTTCGCCTCTCTTCTATAGTTCATATCGTTCCAGTTCTCTTGCCTCATGCTCTTCGAGATCAGATACCAATTTCTGCGTGGCCTCCGTGACACTGTATTCGCCGGCCTTACGCTCACTATGGTCCGCAATGACCCGAGTCAGTTGCAAGGACGCTTCCAGTAATATTTTTTCCCACTTCCCCCTTTCTGTTTCACTTAGTGTAGACATTGAGGGGTTGCAGGTTAGGCGGAGGCCCTTAGGTGCAACTTCGTGAGATAGATATTTGGTTAGTTGTTCCGCGTGTTTTTCGTATTGTACCCGCTTTTCAATGATTTTCCTAATCGATAGAAATGAGTGGGACCATGCATGTTTAAGACTGCCCGTACCTTTTGTTTCCCCGTGTCATTTGGAAGCCGCCGCCTTGGTCTTCGCCGCATTGGTCCGCCTGGTGTTGTTCCCTCTCACTCTCGCAAACGTCTTTCAAGACGAGAGGGACGCGGCAGCAACGAAGTTTGGAAGCTCATGTCAGTATAACTCATCCCCTGATGAAGGGAGGACCCCTCCCGAAACTGTTGGGAAATAAATATATTTATCCTTGTTGACAACGCTCCCGTTGTGCCATATCCAATACACACACACACACACACACACACATATATATATATATATATATATATATATATATATATATATATATATATATAGGGGAAAGAAGTGTATACCTAAGGGCTTCGTTTTCCCGTGTTTTAACACAATATTAATGAGATCTAACAGACAGTAATGCCAAGGAATGTACAGGGGAAGTTATTAGAACCAATGGAATGTAAATAAGAAGAAAGAAAAGTGGATGAAAAAATAACCAGCCTTGAGGCAGGAATCGAACCTACGACCTTTCGAATAACGCATTCGAGAGCAGTCGGAACGCGTTTATAACTTTTCTGTACATATCCTTGGCATTACTGTCTGTTAGATCTCATATATATATATATATATATATATATATATATATATATATATATATATATATATATATATATATATATATATATATATATATATATATATATCCAATAATCGAGAAAGGAGTATATCAGAGTAAGGGTACAGGCTATCAAATGTGATTTGAGACAGAGGTAGTGATGAGTCCAAACCGAATGATATAAGTAAATTATTGACAACTAACATGTGAGTCGCTCTGGTTCATTTATGTAGTCAAATACCGTAGAGCAGACGTACCTGTGCCTGTAACCTAACTTAATGCTGCCAAATGATAAAATTACTGCCACATTTATTTCTAACCTTAATTTTTCAAACGGAGCTACCAGGTATCTTTTTAGCTGATAAAAATATCAGCGACTTCTTCCTTTGCTTGAACTTAAGATAAGCCAGCGCGTCTGCCACCCCTTCAATAGACTCTTTTTAGCACTCGAGACTTGCCATGCTGGTCTAGTCGTAATGGTTATGACCCACAGGTTGCATGAATTCCGGTGGTGGCGGCCGCATTTTCCACTTAAGCTGAAATGCCCGATGCCCATACACTTAAATTTAGGTGCACAGTAAAGAACCAATATTGTAGCTATATCTGGAGCACTCCACTGAGGCATCTTTCACAATCATTTGTGGTTTTGAGACGCTAAACTTGAGCAAATATTATTGGCAATCGAATTCTTATGCTCCTTCTTCTCGACAAAGCAAAGACCACAAGTGTGAAAGTTCATGACAACCTAAGTAACGAAAATGGCAGCAAGAAGTTAGAAAATCCTTTCAGACAAATCATGGATCTTGTAATTAGCGTTGTATAGAGAACCAATTTAACTATCGTCGTGTATATTCTTACATCTGCCTCTGAACGTTCATCGAGACACGGGCTTAAACTAGTGTAAATTAAATAACATAGGGGATTGTCAGTCAAGCTTCCACCTTTAAACTCGCTGCAGCACTAGGTAGCAAGCACTCAACATGCCTTGGTCGTTCCATATGTAACTGTATCAATTAAACGCTCGTTTCGCAAATAACAATCGCAAACCATCAGTAGTGGACCGCGTATCATAGGGCAAGTATGACTGCAACATCTGGGATCAGTCGAACTTAGAAGACCCAGTGAGCTGGATGAATTTTGTACGCAAGTCAAAATCATAATTTTGTTTATTGCTTGGCGAACGATTATCAAACGGACGAATCATTTGTGTTTCTTAACATTGCGTGAAAGCGAGTCTTAATGGATGCCTATGTGCAAAGTAGGAGCATGTTTAGCCGAGGTGTCATCAAACGTCGATTGAAGAACACTCCACAGGTATTTTTAATCCGGGTGCATGGTGTCCGTGATAACGCTGACCCGCAGTGATCGGCGGAGGAACTCCTTTTCGGTCGGATGGTTGGACGTCCAGGCAATCACGTGAATACCCCAGTTACGCCAGGCCTTTACGTATTCAGCGCTCATCATGTTACTGCTGATCAGAACAGCCGAGGCACCAGTCAGGTAAGGCAGAAGGCCGGTGTGGAGTGCCGTCTCGAGGAGCCAGTCGGCAATTGTGTCGAACATGTGGGCTACGGCATCGCGGTGGCGTGGTCGCGTGTTGTTCACGTCCTCGTACGCTAGGAATCCCGGTCGCCAAGTTAGCGCGGTCACAATATCTGGGTTTTTGCGTCGCAGAAAGTACACGAAGTTGTGATAGAAGGAGGCGACTAGTGCCCGTCCATACAGCTCCGGTTTTTCACGAAATAGTTTGTCGACTGCCTCGACGGCGCGGGAGTCGTAGTTCTTGACATCGATGATAATACGCATGCCAAGACGCAGACACTCTTCGACGCCTTCTTCGAGCGTAGGAACGCGCTCTTCGGGGAAACGCTTGGAGAGCGGGTGCTTGCACGAGGCGTCCAAACGACGCAGCTCCTCGAAAGTTATGTTCTCTAGTAGACCTTCACCGTTGGTGGTGCGCTGCAGGGTGTCGTCGTGGAAGATGACGGCAACATTGTCACGCGTGAAGGACAAGTCCAACTCGATTCCGTCGGCGTCGTTTTTCTTGGCCTCCTTGAAGGCGGCCAAAGTGTTCTCGGGAGCATCGAGGGCACAGCCGCGGTGCCCGAAGACAGGTGGAAGCCGTGAGCCGTCATGCTGTTTCACGCCAAAGATCACCTCCGAAGCTAGGCTATCGTCAACGCGTGGTATCGAAAACAATCGGACAAGCACGCAGCACACAACGGTGATGATTCCGACGGCTTGAGCGGAAACCATTCTGCTCTAGGAATACTTGTCAACGCTTGCACAGGGGTCAATTTAGGACTCGGTGCCCTGCTGTGCGCCAGATACACGACGAAATGCGCTGAATGGCTGTCTTCTTCTTCTACACCTTCTTCATATCCAGGTATGGCATGAAGCCGTTGGAGGGGATTGGAGGAGTAGAAAGAGAATAATACCTAAAATTTCTGTATTTTGGAAGTTATAGGTCTGCTAGATTTGAATTTAATTGATTTTAATTGGCTATGACTCATAATAAGATATGTAGTGTGGTCCGAATTTAGCAAGATATACTTTTAGTCACATTAATATAGTCCTGAATCGCAACGAAGACATCCCTGTGGCTGCACTAACAGAGTAGTGATTACTTTTTATTTTAAAATGTGGTTTGTCGAATCCTATGGCCCTTTTCACTGTCTTTTCTTTTATTTTTATGTACGTTATTATTCGTCTTGTTCTTCTCTGATTTCTCTCTTTTTTACCATGCATGGTATTGAAATTTTCGTTATAAGGTATAGTGTGGCCACACTCTGAGCAAAAAAATTCACCTCAACGGGGGAGTGACATCAACTTTAGCCCTAATCATGTCGTTAGTCCACCAAAAGACCAAGGGTGGTGAGGAGCGTGTCGTGTGCAAATTTGAAGGACTAATGAGAGAACGAACGGCTCCCATACTCTCTGGCGTAGGGGCTGAAGGGATAAAAAGACGCTTTTTCTAGTCTTTGCTGAGTGGATGGGTGATCAGCCTTTGAAAGGTCTGGTTCTCAGTCATTTGTGCCCCAATTTTCTAAAGCTCATCCTTCTACTCTGTGGGGGTAGTGGTAGCGCAAGGCGAAGGACTGAGAGGTGAATAATGTAGCAGATGCGTGTCCAGGGGTTCACAGAACTCATGACAAGGCTCCTCAGCCCACTTACAGTTACGATAAAGAAATTATTGCCATAAAAGAATAATTTATCGGGGAAGAATACTGCGCCGACAATTATAATGATTTGAAATGCAGTTCAATAAATTTCACAATATTTACTAGCGGTGACAATCATGCAAGTCTGACGTACATTTGAGCGGGTATATTCTGTATCCATACGCCCCGGACTACTTCGAAATCGCTCACAGTCACTGTAGTCAAGAGTACGCCTCGTGTTCGTCACTCGTGGTGATCCTTTTTGGTCTGGTTCCGCGGAAGGCGAGTACCGCTTCACAGGCTATCAACTGAGCAGTGAAAAACATATTTCGTCGCATGTGCTGGAATTGTGGACGCACGTGTATTTGTGTGTTGCGGAAGGGCTGTTCAAATGTACTTAACACCACAACGATCCTGCGAAGAAATGACATGCCAGCTCACATGCAGCGCTCCTTCGCAGCTTCCTATCTGCAAAGCTTCAAGAATGGACGCCGTCACCTTGAAGCGTGATCATCATTTTCTGGATATACGGGCTTAGAAATCACGTGCATCTGTTAATTTTGAAGCTAAGTTTTCCATTCTTGTCACCTTGGCGCATTACATAATAAATAGTGTGAAAGTTGAAAGATCACTGTGCGCGGCTTCTTTGAGCATGTTTTATAAGCTTGTGACTGTGTTTCATTGGGGCTTAGGCAATTAAGTCGTGGATTCATGGTCTTGTTAGTTTATTTTTATACAAAGAATTGTTTTTATTTCTCGCAGGTAAGAGGGCACAGCAGCCAACGGGGAACACCACTGGTGCGCATGACGCACTATTTATGGGAAATAAATTATTCTACCTTTGAATTGGTCTTTGAATTTTCTGTTCCAACACACATTCATGAATGTAGTTCTTAGTTAGGCGCAGCTGACATGAGCTATCATGTCAGTCTGGCGAAGATGGCCAGGGTAATGTATAGTGGATTAATCATTAGTCCCTCAAAAAGCTGTTCAAATAGAATAACAGCTCATCCCGAAGGAGTAACATTTCCTCGCCCAAGGATGACTTCTCGGGATCAACAGCTAGTCCTCACGAGAGTAACATTTGCACTGTCAGAAAGCATTTTCTAAAATCAGCTGTTAGTCCTTCCAGGATAAACTATTAATCCTCTCAGGAGCAATGCTTAGTCCTCTTGCAGTTCATCCTTCAAAGACGAGCTGTTTATCACCTGCAGTTAGTCCACAAAAGGATGAATAGTTGTATCAAGTCAGTTAATCTCCAAAGGGACTAACCCTACCACTTTAGTCCTTTTTTTTTTAGAGTGCAATCTTCCTTGTGGGTATGAACCAATATCTGTAAGTGACAAAACAAAACAAACAAAACTGAGCAGTGGCCCAAACGGAAAAAACATGTTTTGATAGCCCCAGGCAAAGTTCTCGAAGATAGCATACTAGTATAGTATGTTTCTCTGTGCTAGTACGCTCTTCCTGGAAGCATTGAGTCGGCGACAAGACATTCAAAGAATGACCCGTCTTTGAACGTCTTCATGAGCACTGTCTTTTCCTTCATTGTCTAGTGTTTTATGAAAATGCGCGCTTGGTCGTGCTACGCACGTTACCTACTAAAGGTTATACAATAATACCAAAGCGTTTTTTAAGAGAGATTTTACGCTATCCTGTGGAGTGAGTACCACACCAGTTGTGTTACGTCACTCGAACTCATTCAACAGTCAAAATATTAATTTTCTTTATCCATAGACCACAAAATCAGATACTGAGTAGTGATACAAGTGTTATTCGATCAAGATAGCATTGATGACTTCCAGGTGTGTCATGCAATTACGGGCGCGATTTCGTTCATGCTGCATGAAACTTTGTAGGCATCGTGCTATACTGCATCATGTAGTCATTGCGCTATACTGCATGGAGTACTGCAATCCGGAGTATTAATGAGCAGTCACTACTGCCACTTCCGGGAGTAAAAACTCAACCAGATGGGCTTTGTGGCTCTGATGAAACGACGAAGCCGAGTTGAGTCTACCTTCATTAGGCTATTGCGTTTCTACGTGTTACAGGTGTTTCAGATATGTCCTACAAGTTTTTCTTATTAAACACTCTTTGTTAAGCTTTGAGGTGGTAGTAAAGTCACATCTTTATGATACAAAAAGTATCACGTCTCAGTGGTGTTACTATGGTAACGCACATGCCATTTGTTGGACTCGTTGCCTCGCTCATTTTCAGTGAAAGTTGTCTGTAGTGGGATTCGTGATGATAATAGTTTTCTGATCGGCGCCAAAGATTTCTGTGGCGCATTCAAGTTTGTTGGGTTAACTTCCACCTTTATATTTTTTATTTTTGGATCAGTGGTGAGCAGTGAAAGTTACCCAATTTCCGTGTTGCGTACGCGTTTTTTGTGAATTTTATAATTCATGACATTTACAAAGAATACGGGATCCCCTCAATCTAATTACTCGTTTTTGGCCGATCCCCCAGAATGGCAGCCATGCTTCTAGGCCATCGTCATCATCACCATCATGTCAACTTGTTCTACCACAAATCCCGGACATGAAACCTTCGACCAAGAACAGCTTGCCCTCTATAAGTTCTTTCAGTTTGCGTGTAGGTTGCATGATGATTAAAAAAATACACATGATGGACACTCTCCAGAAAGTGATGAGAGCATCTTCAGAAATGAAAAACACTAGAATGTTGCCTTCTCGTACAATACGAACAGCAAAGCCGTTTAAGCTAGCCTCGGCACATTCTCGAGCGGGTATGTACCAGAGGAGGCTGATGTGCGCCAAGCAGCTCTTAGCATATTATATTACTATGATCTGGCATTTAATATCCCAAAACCGCGCTATGAGAATGAAAAACGCGGTAGCACAGGCTCTGGATCCCCTGGTGTTGTTTAACGTTCTCTGGCATCGTACACTACAGGAACCCCTAGCATTTCTCCTTCATTGTAATGCGACCGCCGTGGTCGAGACCGAACCCACGACATCCAGGCCAGCAGTCGAGAACCGTCGCCAGTGTTGCACCGAGGTGGGCCATACTTGGCATAACCTAGCCATGTATAGTATAATAGGAAGTGGGAAAGTAAAGTAAGGGCGAGTTGGATGGAAAGAAGGCGTAGAGTGCGTACAACATGACATAGCCGTGTACAGTACTTTTTTATTATTTATTCATCCTAAGTGCAGAAAGAGGAGTCAGTGGTACAAAACTGTCAGGTGGAATTCATATTAGTCATTTGACAACGAAAATCTGTTTGAACACTTGCCACACCTTGTGTAGCAAGTGTGTCGTAGCGACAAGAGGGGTGAATAAAAGGCAAACGGAAAGGTAGAGTAAATCGTAGCGTAGCCTTGTAACAACTAGGCTGCTGACGCGCTGGGTGGATGCTCTCGCACCTATGTCTCAATGCTCGGGCCTGCCAAGGATCGCATGTTTTGCGCCAAGCAAACAAGGCTCAGTCAATTGAAGCCTCAGAACTGCAGTTCTGAGGTTTTGAAGTGCGAAAATGTACTTGCTCATGCCCCTTCCACGTCGTCCTTAAATTACAATACAAGAAGCGCTGCACGCCATTCTTGGCGCCATCTGCGCCGATTGAAATGTTCTACGGGAACCATTCCAGTGCGTCAACACCATGATATTTCAAATTAAACAGAAAAAACAGAACCCATGAGTAAGTAGACTAACAGCCTTTATTCTATTGTCTTGCCAATATATTCTATTTTGCATATTTATTTTCGTGACACGCAGCAGGACTCAAGGATGATATAAGTTTGTTTATGCGTTTTTTGACAAAAATGAAGTGCAAGTAAGCTGCTTTGCAAGCCCAAGCAAGCAGCGTGCTTTGTGGCTTCCTGCGTAGTAATAGGCTTTAGTGGTTTTGATTGCGTGCAGTCTCAATACTACAAGTTTTCATCTTCAAAATTTATTAATTCACAGTGTTCCTGAAAAGCTGGCCAAAACAATGTGGCTTTATTGCAGTGTTTTATTTCTTCAAATTTTATTTGGACGTTAGGAGTCTAACTGGATAGACTGCAGTATTGGTACGTATATAGGTGAACAGTATTTGTGCCAATGTCCTTTAGCTCACGGACGCAGACGTAG